AATTAAAACCAACGTTAAAAAGGCAAATTGATCTACCACTTTCTTAGTGAAATACTGCAAATTCTGAGAAACATACATATGTGTTCTGTGCACACTAATCATTAGGTACGCTTTAGTTAAACCCCGGCTGTTCTGGGCAACCTAATTTGTTCGCTCATACAGTCGTTCGTAAAACCTATATTTTTAAATTTGAGCTTATATTATTAATGACTATATCTGATTTACTTTTGTAACTTCATATCTGAAATATATCATATTGAGCGTCGCCTTTAACACAGAACAAACTATTTTTACCACAATTTTTGCAGTTAACAATTGAAAATGTAAACATCACATAAAACATCATTGCGCTTGAACATATGGCCTAGTCTGTATATATACGGTCTGATTCTATATACCGTCTGTAACATATCTATAATTCAAATACGAAGAATCACTTCATACAGTGGCAATTCATTTTCTTCGGCCCAACGTAGGCACAAATTAAATTAATCGACCGCCTATTTACTGGGTATGTTCTGAAAAGCTTCGTCTTCGTAATCGAAGTAGTGATTTTCTCCCGTGACATTAGCTACTATCTCATCATCTTCCAAGATTTCTATAGCCTAATTTTCCATCATCACCTCTTGCCCATTGCTTGAATTATAACATTATACACTATATCTCAAATCTGTACCAATGTCAACCGTTAAATTTTATCTGAATATGTATTTTCTTTAAGCCGCGGAAATATGGCAATAGCATGACTGCTTAGGCCCATTTTCATCATAAACAAGCGAACCGCAGTTTGACGAAACTAAGTTTATGTTAAACGCCGAAATTAAACGTGTTTAACTACGGACCGTTTTCACCAGCGCTTCGGCACGTTCGGCGTGTTTTATTGAAACGCAGTTTAAGAAACTGGAAACACTGGCATCGTTGCAAAAGTGAGAAATATTACGGTTCTCATCGCAAAATCATCTTATCAAGGAACCATTTCGGTCCATGACGTCAATAACCCGTTATCAAACCCAAACTTTCTGCTCGAACTAACCGTAAAATTTTAAAGTTTGCTTTGTTTATGCACGGTTTGTACATTCGTGTATGGCTTATGACTGGTATACACGTTTTTATTAGATTTTCTATTTGAAAAATTTCTTAAACAAGTAGAAAATTAAGTCCTGCGGACGCCCTTTCAGATCCTTATAAAATTCATTGAATAAACAAGGCAAGCGGAGGAGTCTAGAAGGATTTTACTGGGTAAACATCTTCGCTGGAATCTCACAAAACCCAAAACACCAGCTCTATCGCGGAGCTCACCCTATGTAAAATTGGATGTGATGTAGTTGTGCTGAAACCCTTAAAATCTCTAGCAGAAATGTGCATGCATTCTGTGACATAAAACCGCAAAGCACCGAGAAGTTGGCTTATCGGCGACACAATTACAGACAGGACAGACAAAGTACATAAGTAACAATCAAATGTTCGTAGACTTCTTCGAAAATTAAGTTATAAACTGGCCTACGTGCCATTTCTATTTTATTATTTTTTGGTCGACCGACAACAATTCTTTACACAGCGAGGTTAGATCAAGTCTTTAAACGGCGTTTAAAGCTATAAACGCCCAAAATAGGCCAGTTCGTTTCTTTAAACGCGTTTAAGCACAAACTAAGTTTAAGGTTCTGGTGAAATCCGTTTCGCGCGTCAAGCAAAGTTTCAGACGATAAACTGGTTTAAGATCGCTTGATGAAAATGGGCCTTAGGCGGCAATCATCTCTGATAATAGTATTCGCCCGTACCCACTAACGGCGAAATTTGGTCCGCAGATTTATTTTGTACGAAATTTGCATCGAGTCGTATCTGTTTCGTGGTTAACCATTAACGCACCGATATTTCTTCGAATTTGGCTCGCCACGTATCAGATATGGCAGATATTTCGCTCGTGTATGGGGCGCTAATGAATCCAATTGGAAATGCTTACCTGATTGCTGCTCAGCTGCTGGTTGGCTGGCGGGCATGGGCGCGATTTCCTGTAGGAAATTTTGTAAATCGGCCAATCGAATTCGATCTATCTCATTGGCGCCGGCACCGCTTCGTGGTGGCCGTGGAGCCGCAGGAGTACTGACCTAAACATGGGAGAGAAACCGATTATTTCAACCATACAAAAGTTATATCACAATAGGCGAATATCTCGGTTTTTCGGTGCGGGTCAACACAATTTATGCCCCGTTCTTCACCCTACGTTTCCCCAAAATTTGCTATTTCTAGAAGCGTGCGCTGATTTATGCGAACTACTCAAATGGAGACTCAACTAAATTTACCCCCCGTTTTTCGAACATTTCAGCACTTACCGGTATGGCAGCATTAGTGGGTGTCGCGGGAGAACTGGATACATTCTGACTGGTGGTGGTGGTGGTCGTGGTGGTAGGGGTAGCAGCAATAGTACGATGAGTAATGGCTGGTGGGTTGTTAGACCGATTGCACCCCACATGTCTCATCGTTCCCAGCAGACTCGAAAGCCCACTCATCTGGCCTGCGCCTCCAAACAGCTGCATCAGTTGCGACTGCGACATGCTACTTAACAGTGCCTGTAAGTCCTGGTCAGGGCGTTCTAACGAAGACTGCACCGCACTGGATGGGTTGTTGAGCAGTTCATTGATGCGCTTGCAATTGTCTTCATCTTTATCGGTCTTGGAATCCTGCAACGTATCGGTGGTTTAATGGAAAGTTGTGCTGATTGATTGCCTCGATTGCGCTCACTTGCAACCAGAAGAAAAACCGTCGATTGGACGATTTGAATTTCAGTAAGTAGACACGTCCGGTGGTGCATTGCGGAACTTTGACATACTCGCAATCGTCCGGGAATATTATCAGATCGTCTTCAACTGTGCCTGAAATGTTAACCATTGAAAACTCCCTATACCGAGTTGGGCCACTCAATTACCAGTGGTGCGGTCCTGCCAACAGAAATGCATTAGGGATTCCTCGCTCTGGTAGATGTAGATGAGGCCCTTGCGCTTCTCTGGGTGTACCATAACGCCTATTAAACCAAAGCAGATAATTGCAAAGCAAGCAAACAGACTTGACTATACACAGACCTTTCATGAACATTTTTCCAGCTTTCACTTCAATCAGATGCTTGTTGCCTCCGGTTGAACCCGGGCCGGCAGCACCACTCCCAAACAAAGCACCTCCAGCTGGCATTTTTAAGGTATCTGCAAATATCTGTAGAATTTAATGGGCCTCCTCACTGTCACATCGCTACAGCCCCCAGGTAGGCCACACAACCAACTTGGTTAAGAGGGCTAACGATCCCCAGCCTTTTGGCAGCAAATCCTAGCTGTACTTACCGGCAGGATAAAGGAGAACTTTTTAAACACCTGGAACAAAGCAATTCCAGATAAACTTCCCAATGACTGGTGGAAATGGGTTTATTTTGGACAGTCAAATTCGAAGTTGAAGTTGTCTTGCACGTCAGCCGTCAGCCTGCCAATGGCAGTGTTGCCGTACAAAATTTCAATCCTCCGGTTTACCTGCCACGTTATACAAAAGTGTTTTTGCTGTAAATTCTAAATCGCTATAGATATATGGATACCGGCAAACATTTTAACAACGCACACTTTGCTTTGTCCATTTGTATCCTTTACCAACCAGAAGACATTCCCATAATTCTCGATTTATGGACAACCTGGCAACAACACGATCGGCGACTGTCAAAATGCAAACTGACATTGTTGTCGTGTTAACGTGCAGGAGGTGGGGGGCAGGTAAGAGGAAACAGCAGGCAACTTACCGTCTCGTCTCGTCGGCCATTGGAAACCAGCTGATTTGAGTTGACTGATAAAATGTTCCGGTTTTTCAGCGTGTTTTCGGCCGGAAAAGTGATCGAAAACTGTCGGTTGGGTGCGGGAATCCAGTGAGGTGGTGCCGAGCACCCATACGACTATGGACCGGGAACAATGGTCGCCCGATTACCCACAATCTGCGAGACGAGCTGATATGGAGAGTACCAGCAGTACCGGGGATGCGGAATCGCAGACGGCGGCCCTGCAGCCCGACCAAATCAAAGAGGATCCGGATGGCAAACCGCCCTTTGTCCACGTGAAGAGCGAGTTTGGGCCCGGTAGTGTTGCAATTAGGTTTGTATTCAGCATTGACAGTCGTGTATTTTTAGACTCACTGTTGGCTTTTGTTGACTGCTCCGGCCAGACTGGTACTGCGGTCTTCTCTAGGTTATACCCCCTTTGCGACTGCACTGCTGAACACGGTGTTTCTAATGTTTCACATTATTTTTCTAATTTTACTCCGGCCGCAGTTTGACCGTTCGAAAATAATTTACGAATATATACAGGGCGTCTCGTAAACATTCCCCAAATTTCATGTTAATGTGTTGGCAAAAACCAATGTTTCAGAATAAACTCAGCCGCTCTTGGTTTGATTGCATGGCTGTTTTAAACGAAAATAAGCCGCCTCCAAGTGTTTGCATACTTTTTTCTCATTTATTGGAAACGCACTTCTTCGGTAACCTAATTATCTTTATTATATTTTTTAAGAGACTTTTCTCGTACGTTACGTCACGTAACTGCACTTTTCATTACGAATAGTCAAAGTGCCAAATCGCCGCTTGTCAGGTGTCACCAAGTATTGTCACATTCATTGCATACTAACTTTCAAATTTCAGTTAGTTTTATTGATATTTGAGTGGAACGTGTTGGAAATTGCCCTAATTCCCACACTCCCAGAAACTCGCGTAAAACTTTCACCCATTTTTTGGCATTATTTGGGCATCAAGCAACTGAGAGCGCTGTTTGTGTTCACCTATCTAATCTGATTGACTGATTAGCATTGGGTGCGAATCCCTGACCTTACTTTTGAAGATACTGATGCATTCTGCACTATCGCATTTATTGCATCTGACAAGATTTTCCATGACGCCCACTGAATCGAGCCCAAATAAATAAACCAGTCGCGCCTTAATTAAGAAACCAGCTTTAGAAAATAATCGGCGGAACTTTTTAAACGCTCGCCATTTGGCCACTTAAATTGATTGAATCTTTTCATTGATTTAATCATTTTGTTGGTTGCAGTGACAAACCCCGACAAACCATCCAGCTGATTCTGGCAAATATCAAAACGCTCTCCCAGAACGACAAATATCTTCTGTACCTAAAGTTGCCGTCGGAAATCAGCGACATAATCGACCCATTCCGACAGCCGCTCAACCCGCTAGGCAGCCGGTCCGAGATTTGCCGCACTATCGTTTGGATCAGAACGCACTTGGAGGAGGATCAGAACATCTCCCTGCCAAAAAAGGAGGTCTACAATGAGTATGAGTAAGTTATCGGGGCTGTTTAAGCGAATAAATTCGCCAATTTTTGCTGCCGTCTAGTTCAAGGTGACTGATAAAAAGGTACTTACCTATCTTATCGGGAGCAAACACACAAATTTCTGGTCATTTGAGACAAATTCTGCGAATGGAATTTGCAGGATTACTAGACGAGATTTATCAGCTTTCTCGTGTTTGTTTTACACAGTTTTTCTGAGCTTCAGTCCCCGCTAAGTCTGAGTTATTTCGCAGGCAATATTGTGACAAAAACCACATTAAACCTCTGTCACAAGCCGATTTTGGCAAAGTGATGAAGCAAGTGTTTCCGAAAGTGCGAGCGCGTCGATTAGGGCAGCGCGGCAACTCCAAGTACTGCTATTCGGGGCTGCGCCGCCGGATTAGCCTCGAGCCCCCTTCACTGCCGGACATTGTCGATAATCCCCTGGTAAGGTAATACTGGTTGGCAATCATGCAGATGACAAATGATGTTTTATTTGGCGCCCCGAAAACACTCATTAGAATGCGGTTTTTCAGTCGACTGAAAACTCCATCACCCAATCCAGTGTATCGGCCGCCTGGCTAGTGATTAAGGACTGGGCGCAGCAACAGTTGGGCGTCCAATTCACATCGCTGCAATCTCTGGCCCATTATCTGTCCAGGAATTGCTTTGTGGGCTCGGAAGCTCCCAGTAAGGTCTCCGCAAATGGCGATAGTCACTCGAAAGGTACAGGAGGCAACTGACTTTGTGCTGATTTGCTCACCGAATACTTGCAGGTGAGGAGCCAGTAGGTGGGAAAGGGGTGAATAAGCACCGCGAAATGCAGCTGCAGCTACAGAAGAAGATCCAGCAAAGGAACGAGGGCAAGGAGCGGAAACGTAAGCTTCAGGTAAGCAAAATGCTCCTCTCTTGAAGCGGCACAAACGCTCTGTTGATCCCAATTGGGACGAACGTATAGCGCGCCTGTTACACGCTTATGTTAAAATGTTGTGTGTCCCACAGACTCCCAAGCCCGAATCAAAGCCGGTAGCTAAAAAGTGTCGCTCGCACAGCGTGCCAGCTTCCGCTATTGCGTCAGCGCTGACGCAAGAATCCGCCCTATTGGGGACCGGATGCTTGACTAGCGGCGAATGCAGCACAGCGAGCAGCAGTTGCGGCAGCAACAGCGTCAGCCCCACTCAGCAGAGCCGAATCATCTGTGATCAACCAGAGTTCACCCAACTGACGGCGTTACCTGACTTTAAAAGTTTCCAGAAACCGGTGACTGAAGGAGTCGCTGGTAAGCAACTGCTCAGTTTGCTGATAAAACCGACGTTTTCCTAAGAATCAACGTCTTTTGCAGGCGCAGTAGTGCCAGACAAGGTGGCTCCGACTGGGACCAAAGTTGCGATTCCACGACTACAGCCTCAGACGCCGTCCAAAGCGGCCGGCCAGGTGAAAGCGACGCCTCCCCATAAGGCCAAGTACAAATCGATCCAGCCCAGACTGCAACCATGTGATATTGCGACGTACAACGCGGCCGCCGTGCCTGTCGCACTCGCCGAACCTCGATCTCAACTTGTGCAGAATGAACAAGACAAGCCTGTTAATGGTAAGATGGAGACCGGGCGTGCACGCCAGTGGCCTGGATGGGTTTTGCTTGGTTGCAGATAAGATTATGGATAAATGTGCAGATAATTTGAATGAATGCGGCGGCGATGACGAGGACGACTTTCCGTTGACTCGTGAGCGCCTGGACAGCGTCAGCAACGTGGAAAAGGATGCGATGGACGAATACTTAGGTACCACCTCTGTGCTCTGGTGTTGGCGCTGAATGAAACCCTTCGGTTATTTGCAGGCACTAACAATAGTCAACACGAAGAAGAGCTGTCCAAATATTTCCACACCAACGGTGATTCGGCCGAGATTCCTGCCCCCGATCTGGACCAAACGAGCAAGTTGTCCACGCTGCGGCAACTGCTGGAGCAAAATGGCATATCGGAAAAGCGCGCGCTGGCCTCCATTCTGCCCGAGCCGGCGCCGCCCTTTCCCAGCTTGCCGCCCTTCCTGCAGACATTACCCAGCAGTCGGCGTCGCGTAAGCTTCGAGACGCCCCTGGCCGAGGACGCGGTGCCGCCCAGTCCGAGCGCTCAAAACAAGAATTTCAGTTTCACCCCAATCTCGCCAGGGCCGCACTCGCCCACCCAGTCCAAATGTTCCAGCACCAGCGCCAGTCCATTTGTTAGTCCACGGAACACGCCGCTGCCGCGGGCGAAAAACAATGCTGTTGCCAGCATTCTGTTGGCCTCAGATTCGCGCAAGCGGGTCAAAGTGAAAAAGGAGCTGGAGCTGAGCTTGGACATGAAAACGGATGGGGCGGTGAAGAGCTACATGGCAATGTCGGCGCCGGTCAGCCCCATGCTGGCTTCCGGCAAGTGCAACTTGCTGCAGAAGCTGCTGAACGCCAGCAGCAAGGTTCAGTACACGCCCGAGTATGCACAGCCCGGACCGGGAGAAGACGCGCAGTTTTTTCCGCCGGATGCTCTGAACCGATCGCAGTCGGTTCCGCTCAGTCAGATGCAGGCGGCTTTGGACGGCCAGATGATCAGCAGCCTGCCGGAAAGCGCCGTTAACGTGAAGAGCTTGCTGAACACGTTGGGCAACGAGGGCCAACTTTGTGATAACAACAACATCGACACCTTCAACTTGGACATGTCCAGCAACAACCAGTGCCTGATGGAGTACGGCTTGAACCTGATCAATACATGCGGAGAATCGGAGTTTTCGCAGTTCGGGCACAAATTGGGCGCGCGAAATATCACCCGTTCGCACAGCATGGACGTGGACAGCAGCGGCGGCTTCGACGTGAACAAGTGCAGATCGACGCAAATGCCGTTCACCCCGACGCTGAAAGCGCCCGCCAATCGAACAGCGAACAAAAACTTCCTGGCCAACTCCCGGTCGTACCCGTCGACGCCCCTGAACTCCACCGAAACTTTCATCTTTCATCATCAAGTGAGCTCGGACTGTTTGATCAACGGCTCCGAATCGACGACAGAAACTCTCGATTTCATTCCCACCTTTGAGATCGACAGCTCAGACACTGGCGTTGGTCAAATGGACGGCAGCTTTGGCTTGATGGATGACAACGGCATCTTGATACAGCAGGGTTTTAACGGTAATATCAACTAGTTACTAAGGGCTCATTAGACAGTGGCAACTTCAGTTCGTCCCAGCCACGTCGATTCATTGATTATTCAAGTCTTTACAAGGGTTGTCTGTGATAAATTTTTATTTGTTTTTTGAATATTAGGATTATGGTAGTTGTTGTTTTTTAAATTTGCGCCATTGAAACGACCACGACGCGAAACAGTCCCAAACGAAACGTGGGGAGCGGAAAGTTTGCTGATTGGTTCCGGTCATTAACCCGAAAGAATGGAACTTGAAATTTTCTAGCTTCTAGCTGTTTTTGGTATTCGATGGCAACCTTCACGATCCGACACTAATCGGCATTCTTACATGGTTCCCCATCAAGAGTTTGGCCGCGATTGGGTTGTTTAGGTGTCGCTTCCAAGCATCTATTTTACACTGGGTTTGGTCACTTTTCCTTAGTCTCCCGGTGAAATTTATATTGAGAACTCGGAAATTAGATGCTTGGAACGGCCCGTTTACTTCACAGTTTTCCGATTGAGACTGTCGGGGGTTTCAATGGATTCAGAGCTTTTAATGCAAAATGGTTGTTCAATCAACGTCAAAATTTCTATTGTACATACCTTGTTATCGTTTTGTTTTTTTATTATTATTATTATGCCTCAATTGTACAATAATTATGGTTCGGCCCCAATTGTGATACAGACCATTGTAATTTGATCAATTTTTATACTTGCTGTGCCTGGAAAACCGTTGTAAAGTTTTCTTTTTCTATATCGGGACTGGTTTCTAGTTTGATTTAACTTATGCAACTGTCGGCTGTCAGTTGATTTGTTGATCACCAGCAATGTTGTCAAGTTGACCGCCGTCAAACTATACAACAAACAGCAAGAGTAGACCTTGCACACTAAACCAACAATTATACTTATGCCCTTTTGAACGTGGTAGCCTTAAGAATTATTATACAGGTGAATATTTGTCTTGGGGTATTGTGATATAGGGCCCTCTCACGGGCTATTTTCAGACAGTCGAACCCTCTGCATTAACTTTTTTTGTGTTTTGGACTATCGGCTCGAAGAAATGTTTATTTACAATACATATCGCCTTATAGTGATGAACAAACCTACCAGACCAGCAAGGCCCTTTGTCGGAAATTGCTGTTAGCTGTAGGTGCGCGCTAGTAAGTGGTATAGATTTGTCAAGGCTCGTAATAAAAGTAAGATGTGATAGTATAGTTATAAGTCAGTAGAGAAGGGGGCATTTTCTTTGTAAAACTGGCAGCAACGCTTGGTACCACCACCGTTGCACCCGATTGGTGGGCAGCGGGAGTTGCCGATGTAAACGAAGCTTACGCGATTGGTCCACAGGCCTGACCCTAATTTTCTCGTCATGCGCAAACAGAAATTGAACTTTTCAAATCGATTTATCACGTGCCTCGAAGCACCTGAAATTTCCCTTTGATTTTATTTGGTGAAAATGCTTATCCGGATATCGAGGATTTTCCTTTGTACTTTCTATTTTTTTTTAATACCGATTTTTAATTGATTATCCGGTTTTTTCACCAACTCTTCAAGGTTTTTCATGGTTTTTGTGGAAAACTTTTGTATTCCAATAAATGTAAGTGTCATTTTTCAATCAGAAGCGATGATAATAAACAAGCACTTTCCTTCACTGTTCATTTGTTTTAAAACTGCTTCTTATGAAGCACTTTTGCTTCTTTAGTAAGGAAAGTCATTACTGTCAATCGCCGTCTTGCATCGAAAACTACTATTTATCCCTACATAGGTAAAAATAAGCGCACCACTGGATTCAGCCACAACACATGAAAAAATATACAATTTAAAAGAAAGTTGAACCATTATGGTAGTTACTGGCCAATTTATTTTCTTTTTTCACGATTTTTTGTTTTCCGAGGATTTTTGCTTAAAACTATTATTAAGGTCCGGCCTATTGGTCAAGCGATGATTGATTGATGTGTGTCCTTGTCAATTTACACGGTGGTTCAAACATATTACTTGTTTTCGGTTCATTCCGTTTTCTGGTACTGCGTAAGTACACGAGTTTTTAACTCCCAGAGGGTCGGGCGGATCCTCTCTAAGGTTCATCTAACCGCACGTTCTGTCCCCGATGAGGGATCGGAACATTGGCCTACTGCCTCTACAATTAATATCTGTTAGTGTTTATTAATGATCTCTTTTGTATGATTTGCCAAATAATGAAAAAAAGAAACAAGCAAACAAATGAATGTGTAGTTTTTTGCTTTTTGGCAGAATATAATAATATAATTATGGTACTGTAATCGATATAGTGAGGAAAGGGAGGAGGAGTGTGAAAATGAATCGCCGACGAAGTCTGAATATAAAATTATTGGTCTAAGCTCAGATAATGGTGGGGCAGAGTTGTTATTTTCAAAAAGTACAAATTTATTTTACAAAATGAATTGCAACTTAATAGATCAGATGTTTGGTGTACTATTTGTATCTATATGAACAATAAAATATATTCGTATCTCGTGCTGATTTTTTACCCATAGATACGCAAGTTAGCCCAGATATTTTCGCATGCAAGGATCTTGACAGCTCTGACCCTAATTTGAAGATTTAAATTTAGAATATAAGTATAAAGAGCATCATATAAAAAATTATCCGAAAATCAAAATTGTAATACGAAATAATCAACAGCCGCAACATTGCAAGTATACAATACCATCGTTCCAGTGGCAACGTGGCATTAAAAATATGCTTGCTGCTAACTTCACGCCATCGCACGATTGCTCCGTATACGCGCTGCGCAGATATTTTAGCATGCAATGATCTTGACAACTCTAGCCTTAGTTTGGACATTTAAATTTAGCGCCCTGAAGTATTTTTCTCAGAAAATTTCCTAAAAAGCATTGGTTAGGGAGTTTTTTAAGTCGTGCCGATTTGTCTGCGCAACACTTCCCAAAATGTGTTGATGGTTTCAAATGGAAGGGAACAATGAAAGAACATTCCGATGTAGCTTTTTTCATGAAGAAAGCACCTAATAAAGGTAACGAACATGTTAAATAATAAGTGTTTGAACATCTTTAGCTAAGTTTTTATATGCAGTGCGTCTAAGTTCGCATGTCGAGGGTCGCACGAAAAAAGACTGACGTGTTTGTTAACTACAGCTTCTATTAAGACAAACAACACTAGAATTTGAACAGGATTATAACGTAGGCAAGAACGTAACTGGCCAGGAGAAGAACATCCAGAAACTTGGCCACGATGTACCAATCAGACGAACTGGCACTCGGGGGCGTTTCCACATTATTCGAAATGATCGTGTCACCGTCCTCCTGCTTCTGCGAGGCGGCCGCCCCCTAAAAAACGCCCACTTGTGCTAGTTATCGCCAATTTCGAGTGTGTTTACCTTCAAGGAAGCGTCCTGTAGGAAAATCAGCTGGCCGGGCCTGGACGCGATCAAAACTGAAGCGCTCACGGCCACCCAGGCCGGACTTTGGCACTGATTTTGCATCATATTCTTCAGGACAATCGTAAAAACTATTGCGAGTCCGGCCAGTAAAGACGAGTCCCGTGAAATCGCCACTGAAACCGCCGCGAAATCAACTCCAATGTCACGGTAAATCGTTGAATTGCTTACACAGACTGGGCAGATCCTCCCCCGTGGTGGGTATGGAGTAGACCAAGTTCTGGATATGGAAAATGTGGACAATAATGGAGACGCAGTTGAGCACAAACCGGTCCCTGTTCAGGGGCGACATGGCCATGGCGGTAACAGTGACCAGGATGCAAACTGGAACAACAATGACTGAATCCGCCCCCCTCAATGAATTTGGGGAAAAATACCAATCAGAGGAACAACGACGTTAATGGTGTGAGTGTGACTGTTCCGCTTGATGTTCAGCACGATGTCCACTGAGGGGTAGGTGTCGTTCGGGCAACAGCTGTAGTTCCCCTTATGGACCACCCCTTGGAAGTTGACCAGCTCCCACTCGCCATTCGAGTCCATTTCTTCCGTATCAACAACGGGCTTCATCTACGGAAGAGGCAGGGTGAATTGCTGCTGCACGATCCCGGAACACTCGACAACTGTACCGGTTTGATGGCGATCTCTTCGCCCTTGTGCACCCAGGATCCCATGCGGATTTCGCAGCGTTGCATGTCGTACGGAAACTTAGTGAGATTGGGGACGCAGAGGGCATCGAAGTGGACTGGGGGGACACAGAACACGGTGCCCTCGTACGTCACTGAGCACGAAATGTCGCCCACTACTTTCGGATCAGTCGACTGGTCCTTCCTGCAGCGGAACCGGTGAAAGACCAAACGGGGAAAATCGATCATATTTTATACCTGTTGTAAACGGACAAATCCGGATACCAAATGTCATAGTTGGGCGATAGATGGATGCTTTTGATGCCGTCGTAGTCCTTGGGTTGCCACTTCAGGTGCTCGTCCAGCCAGATCTGAAATGACCTCATCTCACCTCGTGAATCTCACCCCCAGCTAGGGCTATAGTCATACTTACCACTGTCATCCACGCATCGACGCTGAGCATATGGGAAAAGTGGTCCTGAAACCGGAAGTACCTAGATACTCATGCCACGCCCACTAGGATGGTCTTGTTATGCGACTTACGTATTGAAAGTATTTGAGCATCAATCGGAACTGAACAGTGGTGGCGTTGTTATGGTTTTTGACAGGTCTGATATAACTGTCATAGTCGCACAGCAGATCAGCCCTAAGTCGGGCCGGTGTGGTTGACCCAGAGCTAGAAGGGCATTTTAGCTCGTGATCGTAAGCGCGCGCTGAAGAAACGTGTTTTTCTCAACTCCCCATTGCATCCTTACTACTCCACCGTGCTTACCTGCCCCATGGAAAATAGCGAACAAACACACAAAGCGAAGCATATTGTTCGAACGACACACAATATGGAACTGAAAGGCCCAGCGCGCTACTAACATAACGTGTAAACTTATCCAGGAAAAACGGTACGCCCATAGGAGTCCGAACTGAATACCATGCGGGATCCACCTTCCATCCTGCCGTCGCCTAATCGATCTCTGATAAGAGTAGCAAGATCCGAAAAACCTCAATTTGCACTTGTTCGCATCCGAGATTCGTTCCGATTCATTGTGGAGTGGATAGAAACGGCCGACCATTGGCGTGTTGACGCAACATTTAAAAACCTGAATTACTATTTAACAATAGTTCCGATGATATAATAAGGACAAGGTACCAACTAATGCGGAACAAGTACGTTCCGTGAACCGAGCTACAGCAGTTAAATCGGGCTGAGTACAGCAGGCGAGTGGCAAATTGACTGATCCAGCGGAAAAGAAAACATTAACATACATATGCGAGGGTCTTGGC